TTTCTGTTTGTACTTCTTCATCTGAGACTTGTCTATTAATTTCAGATGCCCATTTTTGGATTGGGTCTTTAAACTTGGGAGGTCTGATTTTATTTTTTTACTTCCTTATATATTAGAGGTATTAGTCCTTTGTCAGGAGTAGCTGATATAAATTTTTTTTTAGCATTTTGTAGGTTGCCTCTTCAGTGTACTGGTGGTTTCATTTGCTATGCCTAAGTTTTTATTTTGGTGTGATCCTGGTTATTGATTTTTTGTAATATTCACTGTGTGATTAAGTTTTGTTAATAAATTCTTTATCTATGTCTTTAAGAGTTCTACCTACATTGTTTCTGTCCTAATATTTAGATCATTTATTCATTTTGATTTTAGTTTAGTGAATAGTGAGAGATATGGGGTCTAGGTTCAATTTTCAGCATGTGGAAAGCCAGTGTTCCCAGCACCATTTATTAAAGAGTCTATCTTCTTTCCAATGAAGGTGTTTAGCTCCTTTGTCAAAGATAATGTAGCTGGTTGTGGTTGGGGTTGCTTTTGCATCTTCTGTTGTGTTCCATTCATTGTTGGATCTGTGGTTTTTTTTTTTTTTTCCTAGTACCATGGTGTTTTCATCATGGTAGCTTTGTAGTATAACTTCAAATCCAGAATTGTGATGCCCCTGGTCTTACCCTTTGTTGCTCAGAATTGCTTTTGGTATTCTGGGTCTCTTCTGGTTCCATGTGAATTTTAGGACTGTTTTCTCTAGTTCTATGAAGTATGCTATTGGTATTTTGATTGTATTAAACCTGTGTAACAGTTTTTGTCTTTCCTAAGCTTCTCTATTTTTTTTTAAAAATCTGTATCTACTCTAGATTCTCTAGCCATTTCCTTCATTATGTTAATCATATCTTCGGTTATCTCTGCTTGGCTTTCATCAAGAAACTTATTCATCTGTTTTTGTTACTTCCGCTGCTACCATTCAACTGGGTGGCTTTTGACTCCTTCCAACTCAGTACTCCCTGGAGTTGGGGATTATGGGCTGCATCTTGTTTTTGTATTTTCTCATTTTCTGTGTTGATGCTTATAAATTGCTTATGGTAGGTAACTGTAATACTAGTATCAGGGCCTCTTTATGGCTACTTTTCAAAGATATGTTTTAGGCATAGCTGGTTAGTAGCCTTTGAATCTGTCCTATGATCCTGCCTCTTCAATTTATTAGGGATGAAAGGTTGCTGCCTGTTTGACATAGCACTCAGCTATTTGGTACTGGGCTATAGTATTGTTTATTTCCCCAAGATACTCTAGATATTGGCATACAAGGAAGATTAGTTGATCACAGCAACTGTGTCACCTTGTTTAAAGTAGTATGATTAGCAAGAACAATAGCATCAAATACAGAGTGGAAACTGACAAACTGTGATACATAGTACATATAAGATTTATAGTTATATAACCATATCTAAAATCAGAAAGTTATATACAGTAAATATCGACTCAATGGAGCAATTTACCTTAAGGGCACAAATTAAAAGGGAAAAGAGGAAAAAATGGAGAAATAAAAAAAGGGAAAGAACTTAGAAGCAAGGCTGAAGGACAGAGGGAGATTACCCAAGCTTCAGCAAACTGGTGAAGAAAACAGGAGGGAAGGAAAGAATGAAAAAAAAAACAGGGACAAAAGAGAACAATGAACCTACAGTGTTCATCTTCACAAAGAAACAAAGACAATCAGAGAAAAAATGAACAACAACAACAGCAATAAAGAAGTTTTTCTGTTATTACAAGTCAGGCTGTCTTCTGAGGTCTACAGTTTTGTGGCAGAGTCCAATTCAAGGCGTGACTGTGTTCCTGTTGGTGGATAAGAGAGGCAGTTAAAAGGAGAAACACTAGAAGATAAAGATGTCACATCACCATGATGATTATTTTATATGTATATGTGCATATATGTTACATTATTATTATTGTTGTTATTATTATTATTTGGCTTCTTGAGGTCTTTTTCTGTAGTTCAAGCTGGCTTCGAACTCACTATGTAGCCCAGGCTGGAAACTCATGGTGATCCTCCTGCCTCAGCCTCCCAAGTTCTGTGGTTGGAGGTGTGCCCTGTCATGCCCAGCTTAGTTTTTATGTTTTAAACTTATGATTTGTTTATTTCTTGAATTTTCTATTTAACAGTTTTGGACTATGGCTGACTGTGGATAACCAAAACCAAGGAAAGTGAAACCATGGCTAACAGAGAACTACTATATAGGGGATCAAGCCTGTGACTTTAATCCAGTCTGTCTGTATCTGACAAACTGCTTTTTAATGAGCAGTGTGGGGCTCACTCAGACGCTTGTTAGAAGGTGAATTCTTGGTTCTATCTCAGACAAGTGGATCAGAATCTCTAGGCATAAGGTTCAGCTGTCTGGTCAAACAAGCTCCGTAGGTGGTACTGAGGTGCCCTTAATAGAAAAAGGCCCCCTGAGACAGTATACTTCAGTTTCTAGTTGTCCAGGTAATAGTTCCTGTTACAGTTCCTGTTACTACTGTCTCCTAGAAATGGCCGGGCACTGTGAAGCATAGCTGGTAACTATGATGCATGTTGTAAGAACCAATCAAAGACAGCCAAGCACTCTGCTTCTTTCTTGCAATCCCATAAAAATCTCACTCCCTGAGCTTTCAGGGCCTGATATTTTGGAATGATCCCAATCAGTGCCCATCAATGTAAAATAAATTTGCCTCCAAATCCTGGGTTTTGTTTTGCCATTGCACCCTAAGACTGAAAACATGGTGAACCCCCTTCTGCCTTTTCAGGATTTATAAAAGCAGCAAAAACCTTTCATGCATTCACCCCTTGGTGATTCTTCTAGATTTACAGTTGGCCTCTTAGGAGGGAGGGTGTTTGTTCAGGGGCTGTTCTGTTCCAGGCACTTCGAGGTGTTGGACATAAACTATACATGAAGCAGAGAGCTGGTGCTTGTGAGACTGCAGTCAGTCTGAGGGGAAGGAACAGATGGGCACATGGGATGAGAATGCCATGCTGGCAGGGTTAGGATGGAGCAGGCACAGAGCACAGCAGTGTAGCTCCTGCTCGGACTGAATCAAGCAGGGTGGTGGCCAGCAACAGGAGACCTGGGTGGCTCCTTGAAGGATAAAGTGCCTTGCCAGAGACTGGAGCTGGCAATAGAGGCTTTGTGAACATCTCCACTCATGTTGTTTAAGGGTAGGTAACAAATTATGAGGAGATTACCCTCAAAACAAGGAAAAGAGGGGGAACTACTCCTTAATGGCTACAGATAATGCTACCCTTGTATATAGAACCTAGATGCAGGGGTATTTCAGAGGGGTATTACTCATGGGAGAAGTACCCAGCCTGTATGGATTGGCCCCTGAGGGCAGATCAGGGAGACTTCCTCAGGAGGAAGGCATGGGTGTAAATGACATAGATGACAGGTTTTCCTGCTGGCATGGGCCGCTGAGTCCAGAAATAACATATAAAAGTCAGCACTCCTGTTATTGGGCAGCTTGCTTTTAAAAGTGGCTCACCAAGTAAATGTTTCTGGGTTGCTAG